TCAGAATAATCATATTGAATATGATTAATTCGAATAATATTAATAATAATAATGGTACATTGATTACGCAACGATTCCCACAGTATATGTACAGATATTATAGCACCATGACCGAAATCTCAAGGTTAAAAAATAGCATTACACAAGACTAATGAGTGAATGGAACGGGAAGGGAGGGGGGAGAGGGAATATGGACACGAAACTGGGTTTAAAAGGGAAAGTGTGAAGGGGTAAGGGGGTGATCTTGCGCTTCGGTCGGAACACGAGACAGGGGAAAGAAGAGGGGATATGTTACGCTTCAGCTTTAAACAATATAACCTCAATTATCATTCATATTAGCCTTTTGATTATGCCAGTCAATCACTCTCTTATTCAATCTCGATAAAATGGTATTAGTTGAGCTAATTAACAAGGAAAAGTATGAATTACGAGGATGAATGAGCTTAATGAAGATATAGTTTTGTATTTGAATGAAACATGAATCAAAAAGTTGTAAAATTGGAACGGTTCTTTTTTTTTTTTTTTTTAAATGCTTCTGAGATCCAATGTATGATGTTGCCAGCATTGTGTTTCGAACTCGAGGAAACTAACTGAAAACGATTGACCGGCGTGATCGATTAATCGTTACGTTACATTAATATCGTTAGTTAAGTATTTGGCCGTTTCGATATATGACGTGTTCCAACAACGTTCATGAGAGTATCGGCTAGCACACGTTTCCTAGCTCAGCGAATAAGTCGTGGGGACTAGAAAATTTTGAAAAGAGAGAGAAAAAAAAACAAAACGAACAAAACGAATCGCAATTTAAATATCACAGGAGGAAAATGTCGCGACTTTTTCACTCTTTCTTCGTTTTCGTTTCTAGTTTTAATACAGATGATTAGGACAGCCACTAGATCGATTCGAATTATAGAATTTATGTACACGAGCATAAAAATTCTCATACATACATATTATACCAAGTGACTCGATTTTTTTACATTTTATTGAGATTTTCCTCCCTTGCATGTCTCACGACAAAGAGGACAAGAGTAATAATTTAAAAGATATTTCAGCGAGACAACTCACTGCACAAGTGCTTCCTTTTCTATTACGCCATTTCCTTGCGCAGATCTGTTTTGGTAGATTGTAAGAGAGCCGAGAGAAACGTTCG